GCAAGTTGCTAGACTCTCTGGGCTAGAGGAACTAGACAAGCATTGGTCCCTCCCATTAGAGATAATCCTCACTTCCCTTTCTGCTTCTCTCCAGCACATTCCAGCTCACAACATAGTGCCCCTTCCCGTGGAATCCCTCTGCTCTCCCAAGAGGGGGTGGGGCGTCTCTCACTTGTAGAAGCTCACTTCCTGGCTGCTGACACTTTTCCTCCAGCTCCTTGACTTGGACTCCAAGCTGGGTGACCTCCTCAGAGACCTTAGTGATGTACTCATCCCTCTCCTTCCAGATCTGCTGCTCTAGCTCCCTCAGCCTGGCCAGCAGGAGATGCCGCTGGTCCTCCAGCTCCTGCTGCAGCCTCTCAAAAGTTGTTTCTACTTGTTGTTTTTTGTTTTCAATCTGAGTCTGTTAGGGAGAGAAAGATAGACATTGTCAGAAGGGGTTTACAGAGTTGACTTCCAGAAGAATTATTTTATTTTGGGTTCTCAGGGGCACTCAACCACTGAGCCACATCCTTAGCCCTATTTTGTATTTTATTTAGAGACAGAGTCTCACTGAGTTGCTTAGCACTTCACAGTTGCTAAGGCTGACTTTGAACCCCCGATCCTCCTGTCTCAGCAGCTTGAGCTACTGGGATTATAGGCGTGTGTCACCATGCCTTCCCAGAAGGATTACTGATGTACTTATTAAGAGGAATAGGGACTAAGGAGCTTGAAGACTCAGTCCTCCAAATAAAACTATGGTAAGTTGATAGGTCTCAGAGTAAATTTACCAGTGAAAAGGGCTATGCAATTAGCTTGAGATTCAAATAATGATGCCACATTATGCTTTCAGAATCACATTAAGCTTTTCAAAGGGCCTTCCACATCTACAATACCATCTTAACTCCACTGTACTTTCTATAGAGTTAGGTGGAGATGATTATGGTAATTTCTTAGAGAGAAATTAAGGCAAAAGGAAATTGTGATTAGAATCAACACAGGTTGGTGAACAAGTATGTGACCCTGGTTTTAGCCACTGAGGTCACCATCTACAGGGCATGCTTTGATGGGAGTCGAGATCTGGAGAGATCTTTCTGTCCTGATAGTCCATCTCCTTGGTCAAGGTACCAGCAATTCCACACTGTGGATTTCCTCCTGGCTAACTTTGTAGCATGGATAAAGAGGTGTGAGGGAGCCAGATAGAGCCCCCACCATTAGCCTACTGACCTCAGGGTCATTCTTGTGTCCGAACTAGAATCCAGACACTTACATACATCTTTGAACCCCAAGGCTCCCATCTGAAGGTAGTGTTTTCAAGCAGACACACTCCAGCCAAAGAGTAAAGGACTAGGAGTCAAAAGACTCTGGTTTTTGTCATTTCATCATGAACCTGGGCTTTGCCATGTAGCCTTGCGAGCATCACTTTTCTGGAACTTAGTTTTTCACCCTGTAAGAAATGGATAAAAATGGATCTTGGAGCCAGGTGCTGAGACGTGCCTGGAATCCCAGCAATTCATACATAAGGCTGAGGCAGGAGGATTGCAAATTCAAGACCAAAGGCAACTTAGTTCTCACTAAGTCAAAATAAAAAATATTCATATTTTTAAATATATGTTATATGTATATATATATTATACATATTCAATACATATTTTATATGAATATATATTCACCTATCTCAAAAAATATAAAGGTCTGGGGATGTAGCTCAGTGGTAGAGCACCTCTGGGTTCAATTCCAGTACCACACATTTATATGTAAAAAGGACCTTAGGTTAGAGGACATCAGAATCACTTCTAGCTCTGATGTTCTGAGATGTTCTGAGATCCCAAGTGACTTTGTGTGTGGCAGCAGAAAAGTGAATAAGAACAGTTTGCCAGGTTCTTTCCAGGCAGGCAACAGATACGAGACAACAGACTTCCCTAGTCAGTTAAGAAAAATCCCAGAGAAAATGGTGGCAAGTGGCTTGGCCTTTACCAGAAGTGCGTGGAGCTTCTGATCTTCTCGACACTTTATGTCTTCAATCTTGTCCTTTTCTGTGCTCAGAGCTTCCAGACGACTTTTGAGACGATCCTGTGGGAAGAAAGGGCAGAGAAAAGTGGCTCCGTTAATAATTCAACTCACAAATATAAATTTTCTCCCGCATTCTGGGAACACTGCAGAGCGCCGAAGAATTTGAAGGTGACAAAGATCCAGTTCTTGTCCCTAAAAGGATCACTACTTAAGGCAGGAGTTTGTTGAGAGTGAGTAATATTAGATAGATAAATGCAGTAGTCAGGCATGCACACAGCGAGATGGGAACACAGAGGACAGACCTGCCTGTAGGGCAAAGGGAAGGCTTTAGAAAGCAGACCCCCCACCCCATTTCCTCAGCCACACCATCCTACCCAAACCGGCCAAGGGGAAGCCAAGCTTCTTACCCTGTAGGGTTGAATGGCCTCCTCGAGGAGGCCCACAGTGTGGGCCTGGTGGGAGGGACCCTCCCGGCAGAACACACAGAGGAACTCTGAATCATTCTTGCAGAAGAAGTAGATCTTCTCACCGTGCTCCTCGCAGTTCATCTTCCCCACAGGACCCAAAGGCACAGGGGCCAAGAGGGTCTCTGTCTGCTCCTCTTCCTCTTGGCAGAGCGGGCAGAGCAGGACCCTGCGGGAGGGCTGGGCCCCCATTTGGGCATGCGCAGGGAAGCAGAGGCTACAGAAGGTGTGTCCACAGGCGGCACTTACTGCATCCTGAAGGGGCCCTGCACAGGCAGGACAGGCAGCCCCCTCATGGACCAACTGCAGGGAGGAGGTGGAAGGCATCACGGTGCCTTCCCCAGCCTGTCCACACTGGCCTCAGCCACGTTCAAGCAAATTTCCTTTACCTGAAATTGAGTCACTTTTAAATACGTCACCAAAGGAAAGGAACACAGAGCTGACAGAGGAAGGCAGGAATGTCCGCACGGAGAAGCCACCTGGCTCCACCTCTTGCACACCTAGGAACCCTTGGCCACCACCCATCAGCTAAATGGGTCCAAACTCCAGGGCATCTTGAACTACCTAGAGGTGGCCAGGTGAGCTAGATAGTTTTCCACTCCTCTGTTATCTTCTAGTTCCTGGATTGGGGAGAAGAGCTCCCCGTGAGGTCACGTCTGAAGTTTCCTGGAATCCCTTGACCATAGTGGGGTGGAGAGAATTGGGGAGGAGCCACTTCCTGTCAGATTGAGCAGGTGGGAGCCATAAACTCGCTGTGAAGTTTGCCTGTAGCGTCAAAGTCCAAGCTGGAATGGGAGGTGACCGACTTCCGGAGACTCTGGGGGACTCTGTTCAGACGTACAGGTCTTCTTGGAGGTTTCCCTCCTCTGCCTGTCTTTCTTCATCGTGCCTTATTTGCCATGCTGGTCTTCCCTATACTCCTAAATGCCCCACTTCTGTGGACCACCATCTCCAGTGGAGTTTGGTTAATCCTGGATTTCATTTTCATATTTTAACTGCAGGTGGGAAAAGATAAGAAACCATAATGCAAATTATGTGTTGATCAAAAAAAAAAAAAAAAACATAGAAAACTCAAATAGTCAAAGAGATAAACAGATTCAACTATATTTATCTAGGGTTTACTATTTTCACATTATTAGGTCCATTCCTAATAACCACCCTTTGGGGCAGGTGTCATTACTTTCATTTTCAGAGAAGGAAATGTAAACAGAGAAGTAAAGTCACAGGCTGATAGCCACAGGCTGGGGACAATCCTAATCTCCAGGCTTCAAGTCTTGTGCTCTTCCTGCACTCCCAGCCAAGACAAAGATCAAGAAGCCAAAAATTGGGGGAGTGGGGAGTCTTTCTTTGCTCACCTGCATCTGCAGATAAATCAGGGTCCCTTCCATTCATGATCAGCCCGGCACCTCCTTGTTGCCCCCTTTTCCCTCCAGCTACTTTGTATATCACCCCTACCCTCCACTCCTATCAAGAGCACAGTCTTGGAGCTATATTGTCAAATATGTGAACTATGGGCCACACATATGGCTACTGACTATTGAAATATATATGTAAAATACATCTGAAATTCAAAGATTTAGCACAAAAAAAGCAATTAAAATATCTCATTAATAAAGTTTTATACAGCTGGGCATGGTGGTGTACACCTGTAATTCCAGTGCTCAGGAGGCTAAGGCAGGAGGATCAAAGTCAGCTTTAGCAACTTAGTGAGGCCCTAAGCAACTTAGAGACACCCTGTCTCTAAATAAAATATTTTTAAAAGGACTAGGGATGTGGCTCAGTGGTTAAGTGCCCTGGTTTCAATCCCTGGTACTACTATTACTACTACTACTAGTAGTACTACAATTAATAATAATAATAATAATAATAATAATAATAATGTTTCATACAGATTACATGCTGAACTCATAACATTTTGGAAATAGTGGGCCAAATAAAATATATTCTTAAAATTATTTTTTTCTGTTTACCTTTGAAAGGCTACTAGAACATTTTAAATTGCATATGTAAACACCAAAAAATCATCTTTAGGGGCTGGGGTTGTGGCTCAGTGGTAGAGTGCTTGCCTAGCATTCACAAGGCACTGGGTTCGATTCTCAGCACCACATAAATGTAAAATAAAGATATTGTGTCCACCTAAAACTTAAGAATAAATATTTTTTAAAAATCATCTTTAATTTTAGTAAATAAATAAAGAAATTTCATATGTGGCTTGCACTGTATTTTTATTGGACAGTATTACTCAGAAGACACACAGCTCTACCTGCAAATCATGGTCACTTCCTACTTGTTGACCTAGGGCAAGCTGAGGGAACCTGGCTAAGCCTCGGCTTTCTGCTTTACAAAGCAGAAAGCCTAATAGCACCAGTGTTACAGAGCAGATAGGTGGAATAAATAAAATGATGTGTTTAAAGTGCTTTTATCAGTATAAGGTGTGTAGTCATCATAAAGAAATGCTAGCCATGACTATTTTTCTTTCTCCTCCCCCAAGCAGGGTATATTTTGAACTCATTTGAAACCTCTGGAAGCCAGTTGGGACATCAGCAAATACACCCCAGCACAGGACCTTATCTGAGTCCCCACACTCTCCTCCCTGCTGACTGGCAGGCCCTGGGATGGCTGATACCTCCAATCTCCCTGGAGACAGCTGGTCACATTGCAGGGAGGCAGGAGTGGCATCATCACTCTGGGACCCAGTCTCCCTCTTGTCCCCAAAAGAAGACTGATCTCTTCCCATAGCTGACAGCTGAGATGCCAACACACTCCTCCACTGTGACGGTCTCTGGATGGACAGAAAGCAACAGCAAGCCCCAGGCCAGGATCATTGGTCCAGACAGTAACTGAGGCCATCTCTGGAATGCTGTGAGCCCCTCTGCCTCTTCTCCTCCCCTCCTCTGCCTTTTCTCCATTTCTGCTATTGGCAGGTGTGTGTCTGTTCCCAAGAGAGCAGGAAGACGGAACCCTGGCACCAGAGATGCAAGTGGGTGCCTTGTCTGAGTGTGTGTGACTATGTTTGTGTCCGTTGTGTGCACATGTGAGTGTGTGAGTGTGTGTTCTGTGCCCTTGCTGCTCTCCCAATCCTTCCACCTTAATCAAGCAGAGAGAGTGACCTTGAGGAGTCCACAGGGCCAGCAGAACCAGCATGGCCTCAGCTGCCTCTGTGACCAACCTGGTAGATGAGGTCAACTGCCCCATCTGCCAAGGCACTCTGAGGGAACCTGTCACCATCGACTGTGGCCACAACTTCTGCAGGGGCTGCCTCACTCGCTATTGTGAGATACCAGGTTCAGAATCCGAGGAGTCCCTCACCTGTCCGCTCTGCAAAGAGCCTTTCCGTCCGGGGAGTTTCCGGCCTAACTGGCAGCTGGCCAATGTGGTGGAAAACATTGAGCGCCTCAAGCTGGTAGCCATGCTGGGCCCAGAGGAGGAGGACGTCTGCCGGGAGCACGGGGAGAAGATCTATTTCTTCTGCGAGGATGATGAGGCGCAGTTGTGTGTGGTGTGTCGCGAAGCCGGGGAGCACAGGGTTCACACTGTGCGCTTCTTGGAGGATGCTGCAGGTCCCTACCGGGTAGGAAGGGGGACCTGGGCTCCCCAGAGTGGGATCAAGTTGGACTGGACCAAGAGAAACAGAGCAGAGTTGTAGATTATTTGGACCATCCTGAATCCAAATTCTTTCTCTCTACTTATATAGTTACCCAGGCAGTAAAACTAGGCACAGAAAATCACAGGTTTATCATTTAAAGGGTGTCTTATATTGTTTACTTGTGGCCCACAGACAACAGGACCTCAGTAAGTGCTTATTGAATGAATGAGTGACCAAAACGTGTATGTGTGTGTGTGTGTATTAGGCTTGTATTTGAGGAAGCAATCACACACTGTGTAATTGTACCATTGTTTGCATGTTCACAAGGGGGAACAGTCTTTTGGGTGTGGATCTGAGTGTGTATTCAAGTGTGTAAGTGTAACATTTTATGTTTTTTGAATAAATTTATATATATATAGATAGATAGATAGATAGATAGATAGATAGATAGTTTGGATAGAATATGTAGTAGATAAATAATTTTATCTCTTAATTGGATATGTGCCAGTTTTCGTTGTTCATATATTGTTTTACTACAAGTGAGAGTATGTGTGGATGTCTTAATTAGTTAATTAGCTCTTGATGGTGAGAATCTATATGTATTTTTGAATATGCATATGTGGGCTTTTATATGTATGTACCTGTTCCTAATTCCATCCTAGAACAAACAGTTTTAAAACAATTCATCAATTATTTTTGCATTTCCAAGTTTTTTCTCCCTTATGGAATCATACCTAAGATAATTGATTCTATAAAAGAGAGCATTGTTATTTGTACAAGTTCCTTCTGGATATGTCAGAAAGCTGGAACAATTTCAGTGATATTAAGCTTGAAGTATATCAGGACAGATTCTAGATACCACCTACTAAGCTAGGCATGGTGGCACATGCCTGTAACCCCAGTGACTGGGAGGCTGAGGCAGGAAGACTACAAGTTAAAGACCAGTCTAGGCAACTTATCAAGAAACTCTGTCTCAAATAAAAAATAAAAAGATCTGGGAGTGGCTGGGAGGGTATCTCAGTGGCAGACTGCCCCAGGATTCAATCCTCAGTACAGGGGAAGGAGGAGAGAGAGAGAGGGAGAGAGAAAGACCACTTCCCAGATGCAAAAGAAAGTGGATGTTTAACCAGAAGAAAGGGCAAAAGCAAGTCACAGACTTTAATGGCACAGGAGGAAGGGGAAGGCCCAGATTAAAACTCTTGAAACACAGTGTAAGAGGGAAAAGACCCAAAGAGTGTGAGCTGTCAAGGTGCTGAAGACTCAGGGCTTGTCTACCATTCCCAGAGACAGAGGGTTGGATAAGATGACACCCCTTTAATAAATCTTTTTTTTTTTTTCATCTTAGCATTTTATGCTCCTTCTCCCTCAGGAACAAATACAGAAGTGTCTTAGAAATCTAAGAAAGGAGAGAGAGGAGATTCAAGAAATCCAATCAAGAGAAAATAAAAGGATACAAGTCCTCCTGGTAAGTGATTACCCTTCCCCAGGTCCCTCCTATTCCTCAGTGTCCAGGGTCTCCCTGAAAACAAGCAACACAGCATAGGGCTTTAAAGTCATCCTGTGTCTGAAATCCTGGCAGTGACACTTCACTATATGAGCTCAAGCAACTCTTTAACTTCAGTTTACTTATCTATTAAATAGAGATAAAAAGTCATTACCACCTCAATGAATTGCTGCAAGGATAAATGAGATCCTGCCTGTAAAGTAGCTTGGTAGTATGCACACAGTGTGTACTTCCTATAAGACAGGAGGACAGGTGTCCCCTCTACCTCCTCTGAGCCCTACCCCTTTTAGAAGCTCCTGCAGATGGTGGCTGAGGCAGTGCTGTACTGTCCAGTTCCCAGAACAGGATGGCAGGTGGAAAGAAAACCATGCCACAACTCCAGATCTCTCTGGGGAGATGGCAGGGATGCTGAGGACTATGATTGTACCACCAAACCTTGGAGGACATGGACCTGGGCTAAGAGGGAGATAGGACCAAGTAAGGAAAAAGAAGAAAACAGATGAGGACTAAGGAGAGGAGATGATGGGGGAGGTGTTCTCCTTGGCTCTTATCCTGCCTTCTCAGACTCAGGTGGCCACCAAGAGACAACAGGTGATTTCCGAGTTTGCACATCTGAGCCAGTTCCTGGAGGAACAGCAGAGTATACTCTTAGAGCAACTGGAGAGGCTAGATAGTGACATCTTGAAGCAACAGGAAGAGTTTGATTCCCTGGTTGCTGGGGAGATCTGCCGGTTTAGTGCCCTGATTGAAGAGCTGGAGGAGAAGAGCGAGAGGCCAGCAAAGGAGCTCCTGACGGTGAGGCCTGGGCCTGCCCACTGTGCTCTCTGTGATCACCATCTTTACCTTGTCTACGCCAGGCTACCTTCACTCAGGCATCTCTACATCCCAGATGGGAAATGGGTCACAGGACTATAGATCCTGATTTTAGGCTGTGCTTTCCCAAATGCTCCCTGGACACTGTGCTCCCTGGTCTCCATCTCTCCATCCTATCATCTCTCAAATCTCACAGGGCTTCTGTGAGGTGAGAAAGTAGAAATGGCACTTCAAAAAGTGCCAAATATTATGCAAACAAGTGTCAGGTGTTACTTCCAATGCAAGTCAGTCTTTATAACCTGAATGCCTCTTCCATCTGCCAGAAAATTCTTACTGGTTTATTTATTTCACTTTCTCAAACTGGAGGAGGGATATTGGGGACCCAACAAGGAATCATAAAGGCAGCATGATTTAGGAGGGTGCACTAGGGACTAAGAAATAGGAGACCTGGGAATGAGATTCATTCCCCTTTGCCTCTAACTAGCAGGGACCAGTCACCTCACCACCTGAGTCTACACAATACAGAGGTTGGGCTCTGATCCTCAAAGCCTGTGAATCCTAATGTTCTGGAACTCTATGAATCTGGCATCCTTTTTCTGTATAGGTCTAGAAAAGGGTATTTTGTCTTTTGTAGACCTAAGAAAAGTAGTAGAGAAAAACTGGAACTAAATCCTTCTCCCCCCCCCATCCCCTCTGCCTTTCTCTTTCCCCTAGGATATCAGAAGCACTCTAATAAGGTAAGCAATGCAATTTCTCTTTTCTTTTCCACATAAATACATATATATAGCTGGGCGTAGTGGTGCACCCTGTAAACCCAGCAACTCAGGAGTCTGAGGCAGGAGGATTGAAAATCTGAGGTCAGCCTGGGCAACTTAGAAACACCCTGTCCCGAAATAAAAAAATAATAGAGCACTTGCCTGGCATGTGTGTGGCCCTCTGTTCAATACCCAGCACTGCAAATAAATAAATATTGAAAAGGACTGGAAATATAGCTCAGGGGTAGAGCACTCCTGGGTTAAGTCCTTGGTGCCATAAATAAATAATAAATATGTGCACCACATACCTAGTTATTGCCATACACAGATACAACATCCTCACATTAAGGACATACATTCAAACGTAAGCTTCCACATGCCAAAATATATTCGCACTTATAGCTGTAGATGCACACCCTCAGATAGCAGTGTCGTCTGCCCTAAAGGAAGTATGTCTGTGAAAACTGGTGTCTCCAAGCCATGTTAGAAGATGCCCACCTGACTCTGGAGGTGTTCATTAAGGAATATAATTCCCAGACCCTGTCGTTTCTGTGCCCCTAGATGTGAAACCAGAAAGTGCCGGAAACCAGAGGCTGTGTCCCCTGAGCTGGGCCAGAGGATTCGGAACTTCCCCCAACAAGCCCTCCCACTGCAGAAGGAGATGAAGATGTTCCTGGGTAAGTGGACCCCAGGCCCCCACAGAGGTGGTCATGAAGACTGGGTTTGGAATAGGTCTCCATGCTCCATTGCCAAGTGGTTGTGAATTTGGCGAGGTTTATTCCCTTTCAGTGCCTTTATTTTCTTGTTTGCAGATTTTTAATAAAATCTGCCTCTCAGGATGATGTGACAATTAAGAGAGGTAACAAAGGTAAAGATTTCTGGGGAAAAAATTCAACTGATTTGAAAAAATAGACAAAACTAATCAGTTGGCATTAAATAATATAAAAGAGAATGATTGCCAAGCATCTATCATTCTCAGTCATTTAAAAATCCACAGCGGCATTTGTAATAAGTTTTAGATGATGGATGTTGTTAGTTTTTCATAACCTGTGACAGTAGTTATCTTTACCCTGTGGGAGCTGACTCATCCATCCCTCCCTTTCGCTTTCCTTCTGTTAGAGTGGCTCCCAGAGCTGGGCTGCCACTGTGGCAACTGTGCTCCACCCTTTTCTGGAACAGGGAGTGTTGGTGGGAAAGAGTGAGGAAAGCTTGAGAGTCCAGAAGGAAATAAAACAGATAGCACCCCTGCAACTATGACATCATAATGATGACCCATCCACAAAAACATCATCCTGGAAGAATTTTCCCTATAAATCTGCTTCCCACAAATATTCCCATTCGCCTGACAGTAAAGGAAATTTTACTCTAATCAAAGGCTGACCTTTCACTATTCCAAAAATTATTTCTAAGCAGGATAGAAAATAAATCTAGCTACTTATCTAGCAGATGTTTCTTGAGCATTTATTATGTGCTGAACTGTGGATACAGAGGTAAGCAAGGCAATATGGCCGCTGCCCACTCAGACCTAGGGCAGTGGTTCTCAAAGGGGGGCTCCTGGTCAACAGCAACAGTATCAATATCCCCTTGGGAACTTGTTAAAAATGCAATTTTTGAAGCCCACTCCAGAGCACAGGAATGTGAATCAGGTGTGTGTTAGCAAGTACTCGAGTAATTCCAATGCAAGTTCACGTTTAGAACCGCTGGCCTAGAGGATTCTAACTTCTATTCTTCTCCTTGTCCCTTCCCTCTTCTGGACCTGTTCCCTTATCACTGGGTGTTCTCTGGTTTCAAAAATAATGAAATCTCATCTTGTTTTATTTCCTCTTTACAGAAAAACTCTGCTTTGAGTTGGACTATGAGCCAGGTAAGCAGCCTACATCAGGATGGCGATCCTAAAAAGGAGAAACAATCTTGCAGGGCTCTACACTGAGCACTACAATAATCATATATATGTATAATCACACACATCATATACACACACATGCATATGTATTCACATATATTTGTGTGTATACACATAGAGTCACCCCTGCATACCCATGGGTTCCATATCCATTGATTCAGCCAACCTCAGATAGAAATATTCAGAAAATCTGTTTGTACTAAATATGGCCAGACTTTTTTCTTGTCATTGTTCCCTAAACAATACAGTATACCATATTTACATAGCATTTACATCTTTGTATGTATTATAAGTAATCTAGAGATGATTTAAAGCATATAAGAATATATGTGTATGTAAACACTATACCATTCTATATAAGGAATTTAAGCATCTGAAGATTTTGGTCTTCATGGGGTTCCTAGAACCAGTCCCCTACAGACATCAAGAGATGATATATATAAGAAAGGACAGGTGCACATACATTCCTCATGAAGTTTCACATTCTGATCTGCACATGTTGAGTGGATAGAAAGATTAAATTGGAATGGGATAAGGCCTATCAGAGAAGCCTTTGTGCATGAGAGGAACTTTGGTCTGGGTTTATAATCACATTCTCAAAGAGCTGCTCCCTCTCAGGTGTCATTTCATTAATGACAGTTTGAAGGAGGGCAGCATTATTTCCCATCTATCAGCTAAAGACACTGTCCTTTGGAGGAGGAGTCATAGAGTTGTTGGGATAGCTCCCTAACCCATGGATAGATCTGAATTTATGGGTTTTCCTCAATGTATGGATACTAAAAGTAAAAATTTGAAGGGTTCTGCCAAAGTTTTTGCTGTTAAAAAGTGGTCATCAGAGTCTGGCAGTTTGGAGTGACTGAAGCAGGGTGAATAACCCAAGGCTGTCTGAGTCAAGGCTGACTCAGATAGCCTGCTGGTAGCACAAGTGTGCAAAGGAGTCACCAAGCCTGGAGAGAGAGCAAGGGAGAAATCCTGAAGTTGGGCCCCAGGGGAGAAAAGTCTCTGCCTCTGAGAAGGAGATGGGGGAGGGGCAGCTGTGTGTACCAGCAGGAGGGAGGTCCAGCTGGCAGGTACTTCTTGCAGCCCAGCAGGACAGAAACCGAATAAGGGCTGTAGCCCCTCTGAGGTTCCTTAGAGGAACCCCCTGGGCACCGTGTTGAGATGCAGAGTCTGAGAGTCTGAATTACAACAAGTTCCCAGGTGATGCGCATGCTGAGGGTCCTTGCAGGTGCCATAACATTAGAAAGCGGGTGCAAAGAAGAGTTTTAGGCTGTCCTTGAAGGTCATAGCATGTTTTCTGACATCTTTGTCTCTTTGGGTTTTTCCCATAGCTCACATCTCTCTAGACCCCCAGACTTCCCACCCCAAGCTCCTCTTGTCTGAGGACCACCAACGGGCTCAGTTCTCCTACAAATGGCAGAATTCACCAGAAAGCCCCCAGCGTTTTGACCGGGCCACCTGTGTCCTAGCCCACAGTGGCTTCACAGGCGGGAGACACACATGGGTGGTGAGCGTGGACTTGGCCCACGGGGGCAGCTGCACTGTGGGTGTGGTGAGTGAGGATGTTCGGCGTAAGGGGGAGCTGCGGCTGCGCCCAGAGGAGGGCGTGTGGGCTCTGAGGCTGGCCTGGGGCTTTGTCTCTGCTCTGGCCTCCTTCCCCGCAAGACTGGCCCTGGAGGAGCAGCTCCGGCAGGTGCGGGTATCTCTTGACTACGAGGTGGGCTGGGTGACCTTTGCCAATGCTGTCACTCATGAGCACATCTACACCTTCACTGCCTCCTTCACTGGGAAGGTCTTTCCCTTCTTTGGGCTCTGGGGCCGAGGGTCCAGTTTCTCTCTGAGCTATTGAGAGGGTGAAATTACCCTCCTCCAAATACAAGACTCAAATCAAGTATCATGTGAACTTGATCTCTGGCTGAGTCATTTGGAAGACTTGGAATAGAAATGGCTTCTTTAGATATGATGGTAAGGGACAAGATGAGATGAACTTTAATCCACTGATCAAGGTTTTCCCCAAGTGACCAGTGGATGGTCAGGGTATCTGGGAACTCCATTGCTGCAAACTCTCCTCACCACCATCAGTCACAGAAGAGCTATATACAGAAAGAGCACTGGATTTGGAGCCAGAAGACCTGAGTTCAAGACCAAGCTTAGTAACCAACCAATTGTATGAGTTCAAGCAGGACCCCCAGCTCTCTTCATCTTGTCTTCTTAACAAAAAATGTTAGAGTTCATTTATTCATGTTCTCAAGGAACATTTATTGTGGGCTAACTATGAACCAAAAAGTGTAGGCAGCCACTGGCGATTTGAAATAAAAATTTTTAAAAAAGGGCTGAGGATGTGGCTCAAGCAGTAGCGCACTCGCCTGGCATGCATGCGGCCCAGGTTCGATCCCCAGCACCACATACAAACAAAGATGTTGTGTCCGCCGAAAAACTGAAAAATAAATATTAAAGAATTCTCTCTCGCTCGCTAAAAAAAAAAAAAAAAAAAAAAAAACCAAAAAAAAAAAACCAACTCATCCTGTATCTGAAGGAGCTCTGGGAAGACACAGAGACGTAAAGACTATATTTTGGCACACTATGGTGGCTTCTGTGACAGGGGTTCAACTTGGGTATTATGGAAGCTCAGAGGAGAGGGTGAGTCAGGGATAGCTTTCTGAAAGAGGTGGGTCTGAAGGAGGCATGTGTTAAGTGAGGAATGGAGGGGAGGAAGCACCTTAGGAAATGGGGACAGCAGAGAACTGGGTAGATGGGCTGTGACTCAGGGGGCACTAGGTCATCTCCATAACCTCATGAGCAGACATGCATCATCCCAACCGAACACCACTCACTGCCCCTCCTCCTGGTGGTGTCACTTTGGCTGAGACGAAGGTATACGGCCTTAGGAAAAAGATGACAGGGGAGGCTTAACCATAAACCATAACCCAAAGACCACATTCAACCTCTGGGGGGAAACCATCCTCCTGATCAAGGTGAGGTCAAGAAATAAGGTGATGGAAGAAAAGGTCGGGGGATGAACTGGAGGACCTTTGCCCCTTAGCCTAAAGAGTTGAGGCTGTTCTAGGAACAGACAAAAGGCTACATATGAAAAATGGCGTGAAAAAGGGGAGATTAGGGATATGGAGATGAGCAGATTTGGAGTACAGAGGCCTGTGGGAGACTGGAAGCCTGGTGGTAATGGAGGGACTGTGGTCATGCTGGGTCTGGGAAGTCTAGAATTGCCCCTGTACTGATTCCAGGACAGATATGGCTGCCTAGAATTTGGAAAATGATATCTGTCATCCCTATGCATTATGAAAATATTTTTTTAACTGTACTGAGTGATGGTCCTTTATTTTCTAATTCTTGATGTTGTATTTTATTCTGCTTACACATGCCCCTTACTCTGACAGTCTGTTTAACATTTGTTTACCCTGCCCTTACATAAACTTCAATTCCTCATGTCTTCCTACTTGGTCCTCCATGAGAAGGTGCACCACTCAGGGTGCTACCTCAAAGGCAGAGGGCACCATAGAGTTAGGTCCAGGCTTAAAATTCCCCTGAGAATTCTGTTGTTCAACCTCGGAGGAGTAGGTAGGAAAGTCATGGTGATCAGGAGCCAGGTATTCAAGGGGGGTTGAATGGCTTCTCCTGAGTGTTGTATATTCTCAAATGTTGTATATTCCCCAAATAATGACACACACAGTATCTATATAATGATAAAACATATCACACCCCCAAACCTGGGATTCCACTAGAATGTAGGATTATATATTTTTTGTTTGCTTCTATTGGTTATTCCTGGGTCTTTAAAAATGAATGAAATGTTAGATGAAGCCAGGTGCAGTGGTGAACACCTGTAATCCCAAGGACTTGGGAGGCTGAGCCAGGAGGATCCCAAGTTGAAAGCCAGCCTCAGCAACTCAGTGAGACCCCGTCTCTAAATAAAATTTTAAAAAGGTCTGGGGAAGTGGCTCAGTGGTTAAGCACCCCTGGGTTCAATCCCTGGCACCAAAAAAAAAAAAAAAAAAACAGACGATGAGCCTACTTAAATATGTGTATGAAGGTCCAGGCCAGCCAGAGGGCTTCACAATTATGTTACTTAATCTTGGTAACTCTGTGAGTTACCCATTTTGAAGCTAAGAAACCAAGGCCTAGTGAGTTGGTTATTTCTCAGCAAGAGATCTTAACTACTAGGCTTTACAGCCTTGTTCAAAAGCAGATGCCTGGGGAACCTGGTGAATATGTTAATACTGGCTATGCTCCACACAGGCAATTTGGATTCAGAAAAAAAAAAAAAAGGCTTATATTTCTTAAACTGGGGAATAAAACTGCTGGTGAGTGAAAATACTCATACTGACCTGCTCCTCCTTTAAGGTAATTACTTACTTGAAATTTATTTACTTTTGGAGGAAGTAGATAAATCCCAAAACAGTGACCTTACAATAAAGCACCCCAATGAACTTCCATGCTCTGCTTGCAGAAATCAGACTCTGGGTTCCCTCCCCAGGAAGTAAGTGCTAAAGTCTAGAGACCCATACTCTAGTGTCACACACTGTGACATCCGCAAGTTTACCCCAATTTTTTTTCACAGTTTGCATTACAGCAGACCTTTCTCTTGCAAAGAAAGGAGGCCCACTCCAATTAGTTCAGATAACAGGAAAGTTTATTATAAGAATAGACATCAAAATAAGGAAAATGAGATTTTCCACCATTATTAAGGCTTCACAGAAGCTCTTGCAAGGGTTAGGGGATTGGAGAACAGTACCAGTTTCCATAGGAAGAACTAGAAATTTGAAAAATGCTGATAAATAAGAACAAACACAGCTCACTTTGACCAAATGCCATAATAAATATTTTAATATATTAACTCATTTAATCATCACATCAACTCTATGAGGTAGGTACTATTGGTAAGATCCCATTTTGCATGAGAGAGAACTGAGATGTGGAGGCTGAGTATGGTCCCACATCAGCTGAGAGTGAGCAGCTGCTCAAGCACTGGAAATCAGGTGGTTTGGTTCCCAGGCTTGTGTTCATGGTCATCATGCAATTACAAGCCCAAGAACTGGTAGGAAGGAGGGTTCAGGTCCAAGGAAGTGTAGAGACAAGACCATTCTGTAGTCACTCAGCAACAGGTTCATGAACACTTGCTCTCAATATCTGCTGTATGGCAGCTTGGCTGCTGTCTGCAGTAGTTTCCCTGCCAACTAATGATACTATTATCAAAGATCCCTTTTGAATTTCCAGGAGAACCTGATGGTTTCAGTGAATCACTATTGTCCCTCTTTGACAGGTTCTTCTCAACAGGCAACCCATAGACTCAATCAGCCAACCATCTGCTGACCAGATACCCACCCTTGTCCCAAACATCTATGGTTCCATTGGAAGAGGTCTAGAGGCCCTGGCAGGCAACTGCAGCATAATGACCTCTAGTTTCAGTCTCCTCCCACTCCTCCACTTCTGGACAGGTTCTCTCTGTGACATTAACCCATTAGAGGAGTCAGGGATTGTTAGCTGTCAACTTCAGGGGTCTTCTTTCCTTGGCTGCTATCTTGTTTTTAGATGTGGGGTCTTAGGTTTCTTGAGATCAACACCTTCTTGCCAAGTTACTACACTCTTGTTTTCCTGAACATCTACACTAGGCTCTTTCTCCTCTGGCCTCTCTAGAATCCCCAACTCGCTGCCCAGTTCATCTTGCACAAAGGATCCAGACTACTTACTGCAAACACCACTTTCCTTTTCACTCCCAACTTAAAAGCTTTTGATGGCCCCCTACATCTTGCTCTCATCCATCTCACCTGTTTGAGGTCTGGTCTCCCCAGTTCCTGAGCATTCCAGATGAGCAGTCAGTTTCCTCATGTGTCTACAGTTGTGTCATGGCTTTTTTCTACCTCTATACTTTCATTCAAGTGATAGCCTGACCTGGAATATTTTCATCTTTCTCTCCAACCTGTCCAGGCCCCACCTCCCCCATGAAACCTGCCCTGACTCATCCAGCTTCACTTGTTTCTCTCTTGCAATTCCCAAGCATTTAACATCCACGACACTTCATTTAACCCAGTTACACACTCTCTTGTAGCTTCTGGATGGGGAAGTGGAATTTTTTAAAAAGTAGTGGAAGTAACATACTTGATGTTTTACACTGTGGGAGACACTGCAGCAGACACTGAGCATGCACAATGGAGTTTAATTCTTACAACCACTGCAGGCCACAGGTACCATTACCCACACTTTAAAGGGGGTAGTACTGATGTTCAGAGAGGCTAAGTGACATGTCAATGGCCACAGAGGCATTAGGTTTCAGCACTGGGACTTAAACTCAACTCTGACACCCAAGTCTTCACTCTTGGCAGTACAACATGGCACCTCCTTGAGGCCATGGCTTTTTTTAAAAAAATCCCTAAGTGCCTAGTACAGTATTGACTCAGCAAAGGCTTAAACAATACTGGTTAAAAGTCAATTGATGGCGGGTATGGTGGTACACACCTGTAATGCCAGTGATTTGGGAGTCTGAGGCAAGAAGATGGCAAGTTTGAGGCCAGTCTCAGTAACTCAGTGAGACCCTGTCTCTAAATAAAAAATTAAAAGGGCTGGGGAAGTAGCTCAATGGTAGCACATCCCTGGGTTCAATCCCCAATACTAAAAATAAAAATAAAAAAAGCAATTGATGACTCCTTTCATACATGGAGGATCAAGTTATGCTATTAATTCACTCATGCCTCCATTTACAGTTTTATTATGCACCAACTATGAGCCAGGCACCAACAATTGAGAACATAGAGTAATATCTTTGCTCACCCAAAGAAGTGAGATACATGAATAAGTAATTAATATACAATTATATTAGTTATCCATTTTCCATTAATACTACCATAAGTTTACTACCTTAAACAATCCATATTTATTGTCTCAGTTTTTGGGGGGGTCAAAAATTTGGGCATAACTTAACAGAATGTTCTGTGTAGGGTCTCATAAGACTGTCATCAAGGTGTCAGCTGAACCAGGTTCTTATCTGGGAGCTCAAGTGGAAAAGAATCTACTTCCAGTCTTACTCAGATGTTGGCAGAATTCATTTTCTTATAGCTGGGAGACTAAGGGTCCCTGTTCCTACTGGTTAGAAGGTAGATCCTCCCACTTCAACAGGTCAGCAAGTAGAGCTTCTAGAGTTGAGTCTGCTAGGAAGGAGGAATCCTAAGCCAAGTAACATAGTACTAGAGTGACACTCCACCATCTTTGCCATTTTTCATTGATGAGAAGCAAGTAATGATTCCCAGTCTACTCAGGGGAAGGAAGTCACACAAGGGCATGAACACCAAGAGGTGAGAATCATGGGGATCCCCCCTGGAGTCTGTCTACCATGACAGTTGGATGGTACAAAGAACAGGTGCTACTGAAGCTCAGAAGAAATATTCCTCCCACAAACCTGCTGGGATCCATGTACTAACGTGGCATCATCATTGGTGAGCTCATGCCACCCAGATACCTGGGTGCTTATTTTAATACCATTGGTTTACAGGCAAAATGGAGATCATGTAAGTGGTCCTGGAGATCATGGATCTGACCTCCACAGTGAGAGCCATAGCATGAACCTCATTCAGGAAGGAGATTGAGTCCAAGTGTCAGAGATCCAGGCATCAGATCACGGCTGTAGGGATGACGAAATAGGTATGTGTTCTGGAGATGGCAGACCTGATGATGCACCAGGAAGATTAATTGGCCACTGGACCAGCTGGAGCAAGCAGAGAGAGGAGTTCATCTAGATTCTTTGGAGTACTCCTAGAAACAAAGAAATCCTTGATAAATTCATATATTCTGTAGAATCTTCCACTGTTAGGTAGTCACTAGCAATGAGCAGTGAAATGCAGGCAAGGTCACAGGTGTTTTTTTAAATTACTTTAAGTTTTTTCCCCCCTGGGACCAGGGATTGAACTCAGAGGCAGTCAACCATTGAGTCATATTTCTAGCCCTATTTTGTATTTTATTTAGAGACAGGGTCTCATTGAGTTGCTTAGCACCTCACTTTTTCTGAGGTTGGCTTTGGACTCCTGATCCTCCTATTTCAGCCTCCCGTGCCACTGGGATTACAGGCATGTGCCAGTGCACCTGTCTTTAGGGTCCTTCTTTAAACTACTTCAAAGTAGAAGAGAAAGCAAAGAGTAGTAGTTGATTTGTAGAAAATAAACAAGCAAAAGGAGCTAATTGGGAAACATGGCAAGAGAAAAGGATTAATGGAACTAACTCTTACAGGGTCCATTAATGTTGACATAAAACTCAGAATTATGGCTTTAAGTGTCTCCAATTGTCTGGGAAGGAAGATTCCTTTAGTGGGTGCACTAAGGTAACTTCTGACAAGCTATTGACCCCAATGCTCACATTAACATGGGATTGACTTGTAGATGAAACCTTCCCTAAAGAGGATGGCCACTATGGCAGTTTCGGAGAGGACCAACTAAGGTCAGTAACTCCACTGCCCAATGTGAAGGAAGAGTTGAACACTTGATTTACAAAGAGCACAGAACATGGTCCCCAGTTCTCCTGGTAAACAAAAAACAATAATAAAATTGGGGACAGCATTATCCTCACTTTTCTTTTACTTTATTTTCACCTCACTTTGACTTCTAATAAAGTTCTCTTGCATGACTTTTGCTGTCTGACTTTAAATCTTCTTTCATCTGAACACAGCAGCTGACGTTTGGAATTTCAACTCCCTGCTTTCCTTTGACACCACTGGCCATGAAGCATGAAGGCAAAAATGATTAAGTCCATGTGCACCTCTATGTGATGAGTCTGTACATGCGGGAAGAGAAAAGGGATGGCTCATACCTTTTCAGTAAGTCACTGGCAGTCTAAAAGAGAGAAAGAGAGTGAGAATCACAATCAGGTCTCAGGTTCCTGACACCTCCAAATTCCCTTCCAAACTTGCTCTTGAAGGTCACTCTGGGGGCCACCTTGGAAGCTGCAGGGGATTATACCCTCCTTCTACACCTTACCAGGCTGAAGCAGCAGGGTGTGAACTTGGACAAACACCACCACTACTTGCCCCTATGTACAACGTGAGTACTTCCTTTACATCTCCTGGAGGGGTGCTGTAGGTGGGCTGCATACTATTCAGAGAGAATCCCAGTGTTGGAGATGTGCCTCAGGTACACACCGTCAGTGTATTGGCATCCAACTCCTTGGCTGTACTCTCCAGATCAGCAACCAGAAGGCTGATCTGTGCTATTGCCTTGGAGAGCTCAAGGATTCTGGCCTCTTCTGCTGATGTGTCCTCCAGCTGCTGTTGAGGGATAATATCCAGTTGTCCCTTGTTTTGGTGCTGACTCACCAGCTCAGCCTCCAACTTGTGGTTTCCACAGTCTACCTGAAACTCCAGAAAACGGACTCCCTAAGACTCAATGTCAGATGGCTCCCTCCTGGCCCTCCACAGTTGAATACCTGAGTAAGAATGCTGATTCCTCAGTCCTCTTCCCCTGGTGGGACAGCCTCCCTGTGTCACAGGCATCACAGAGGCAGCTGTGTTTCTCATAAAGAAAGACTATCCAAAAGAAAGGAAACTTCCCACCTAGGGCTCTTGGGACAGAGCCCTTGGTTGGTGTAGTAATTTTCACTTGATGTCTCTTTTGATTGTCACCAGAGAGAGTAAGATTGATTTTCAGTTAATATAAGTCACATGAAAATCAGAGGGCTTATCATGCCCCAGGTCACTCCACTAGCCAACCCTGAAGCCCAACCCAACACCCAGGTATTTAGCCTCAGCAACCTTCCATCCCCTTCAGGCTGCTCAGGGGACAGACATCCAAAACAGGAAGAGAGGTGCCTGAGGACTCTCCAACACAATCCCTCCCTCCTAGGATTTGGAGAAACCCACCTGCAGAGCCTGCAGCTTCTCCTCCTCCTGAGCCTTGAGCCGCTGAAGTTCTCCAATGTCCTTTCTGAGCTTCCTGAACCGGCGGGTGAGTCGTTCCTAAAGAGAGGGGCACAACTGCTCGTCAGACAAGTGGTAAGGGCATACCCACTGGGGGAACCCCACACAGCAGGTATGGTCCTGCCCAGCACGAGGCTAATGTAGCGTTCTGCCTAAAAATAGTAGGTACCTTTGAAACAAGGAACTTGAGAGTTTATTTAATAGAAAAATCATGGGAGAAAAGTAATGAGTAATTTTTTTAGTCTAGATCCACACAAAATAACAGATAGTGATAGAACCATTTCCACTTGAGTTTAGGGTGCTCTTCTCTCCAAATATAAAAGTCATATGACAATTTTATATATGTATATAGTATATGTATACATATACATGTATATATACATATATATTCACTTTAAATTGATACATAAAATTGTACATATTTATGGGGTGCCATGCAATGTTTCAATAAATATTGTGTAATGTTCAAGTCTGGGTAAGCATACTATATACTCAAAGATTTATTTTTTGGTGATAATAACATTTAAAAATCCTTTGTTCTAGCTTTTTTTTTTTTTTAAACCCACAGGCACTTAACCACTGAGCCATATCCCCCATCCTTTTTATATTTTATTTTGAGACAGGGTCTCTATAAGTTACTGAAGCTGGTATTGAACTTCAATCCTTCTATTCAGCCTCCCAAGTTGCTGGGATTACAGGCATATGTCACTCCACTTGACTACTTCTAGCTTTTTTGGGAAACACTGTACACTATCATCATCTACAGTCACCCTACAGTATAACAGAATTCCAGAACTTCTTTCTCCTATCTAACTATAACTTAGTACTCATGACCAACTTTTCCTCATAGTTAGTCTTCTGGTGCTTCTTACCATTTTACAGTAACAAGTGAAACCAGGCTGGAGAGAATTGCCTTAAAGAGAAGAAGGAAAGCTCTGGTACCATTTCTTATTCCTACCACATCCTGTCCCCAGGATGGATAGCAAAGCCACTTATTAAGTACAAATCTATATCCTAGGCAGGCATGTGCTCCCTCTTTCAATCTTAAATCAGAATCTAGATGGGTCACTGTATCCCTGAAACTATGGATATAATGAATGATTTGAGTTTTCTTTTTTTTTTTTTTAAATTTTTCAGTATTGGGGATTAAACCCAGGGGTACATGACTGCTGAGCTACATTCCCAGACCTTTTATTTTTTATTTTGAGACAGTGTCTCTCTAAATTGCCCAGGCAGAACTCAAACTTGAGATCCACCTGCCTCAACCTCCTGAGTTGCCAGGACTGCAGGTGTGTATCACCACACCCAGATATGATTTAAGTCTCTCTCAAAAAAAAAAAAAATGCGTTTAGCCAGGAAGTAGTGGTGCACTCCTATAATCCCAGTAGCACAGAAGGCTGAGGCAGGAGGAGCACTAGTTCAAAGTCAGCCTCAGCAAAAGCAAGGTGCTAAGCAACTCAGTGAGACCCTGTCTCTAAATACAAAATTGGGCTGGTGATATGACTCAGTGACCAAGTGTCTCTGAGTTTAATCCCCAGTATCCCCTTCCCAAATTGCTTGTAGGTTTTTTATAACCCACGAGAAAAGCAAAAGTAAACAAAACCGGTATAGATATCAATAGAGGTGAGTATTGAACTGGAGGAAGGGGGGATTGTCAACTGAAGACTCTGAAAACATTCTTCTCATAATCCCTTGTTCAATTAGTACAGAATGCATTTGCCCTACCAAATTTAAAAAAGAAAAATTATTTGCAACTATAGTAATAAAAACAGTACTGGTGCAAAAAGAAATTTAAAAAAATGAAAGAGAAGAGAGAGCTCAGGGACAGACCATATTCATACAGGAATTTTAAAAAGAAAGAACAGTGCATATATTAGCAGGAGGAGGAACAGAAGCTATAGAAGATGGTCCTGGGAAAACTGGCTTGTGATAACAAAGAAATAAAACCAAGTCCCTATCTAAAAAACTGCAGTATGAAAGGTGAAAGTGTAAAGTTAATAAAAAATAATATTCACATATAAAGTTGTGAACTGAGGGGTAGGGAAATAATGCCATAAACAAACACCCCAAAGCACAAACGATGGGGAAAATGTTTAATTTGATCACATCAAGATTAAACATTTCTGTTTAATAACAACACATGGACAAAATTAATAGAGAAATGACAGATTGGATTGAGGTTTGGTGGCACACACCTGTAATCCCAGCTACTCAGGAGGCTGAAACAGGAGGATTGTAAATTCAAGGCCAGCTTCAGCAATTTAGCAAGACCTGTCTCAAAAAGGCTAGGACTATATAGTTCAGTTATAAAGCACCCCTGGATCCAATCCCTAATACTGAGAAAATGAAATAAAATACAATATGATAAAAATAATTCAATACAATATAATACAATACAAAATGTCCTAGCAATATTTACAAGTGCTCACATGGGGCCTATCATAATTGTTAACTTGACCTAGACTGGCCTACTATCTCTTTCTGCCTGCTTCAAGACTAAAAGACATCTACCAGCCTCCATGACTGGAAACACCAAATAACGTGAAGAGTGAAATGAAGTGGCACTGAGAACCTGGAAGATCTTCACCTATTCCCAGAAAATACATGAATACTCCTCTTCTGTATTAGCCTATCCCTCTCCCTCATTATTCCTATCCTATATCTGTAACCCCTCAGCCTTCTGGAGTTGAGTAGCTGATTCATGAGCTAAGCTCCTTCTTCACCATTCTTCGGCCACTGAACAAAGCCTTTCTTTCTCCCCAACACTGTCTCTCAGACATAGGTTTTTCTGTGGGATGAGTCTTGAACCCATAACCCAGGTAAGAGGTCAGCTAGAGCATTCTGGCAAACCTGTCACTGGGTACTTCCTGCAGGCATTTCCCAGCAGAGGCAAAATTTTAAAACTTAAGGCAATAACTGAGTGTCACTGTCACTCACTGGCCTTGCAGGGGAAGGTGACAGGCTGAGAAGGGCTGTGGAATTGCTTGTGTGAGCACAAATGTTCAGGTCTTAAAAATCACAAACAGCCTTTGCCCTTCAATCTGCTCACTTCTGCCCTCACAGTCAAATGTCTATGAGCAGTCAGTCTGTCCTCGCCATTGTCCATCCTGATGGCCCTACATTCCGTGGCCATCTGCCTTGGTTTTTCATCCTTCTCTTGAAGCTCCTCTCTCCAGGGTGACCTGTGATCTCCATGATGAAGTGAGAAGACTTCTTCTCAGCTCTCTTTTTTTGTGGATGGCATTTCCCTCTCTTGTCCCACCCTGTCCTTCCCAGCCTTGTGCCTTCTCTGTTTCTGCATTTCAAAATCCTATAAAAAGAACCCTGATGGGAGGTTGGTTCCTTAACCCTTCCCATCTTAGATTATGTCCTTAACTTCAGATTATGATGAGTCATAATTCTGAATCCAAATCTTTTTTTCTAACAGTTAATCTCATATTTCCAATTCAGCTAAGTATTTCCTGTCCTGCTAGTAACCTAAAAAATCATTTGGAGAATTCAGACTAGTCACCCCTTCCTGGGCCTCTTCTACAACCCTTTCCCCTTGGCCTTCGTAATTCTGTCATTGTACCCACTGTTCTGCCTGCCCTTCTGTCACATTTTACTTACTTTTTTAAAAATATTTTTAGTTATAGATAGATGCAATATCTTTATTTCATTTATTCATTTTTTATGTGGTGCGAAGGATTGAACCCAGTGCCTCACATGTGCAAGGCAAGCACTCTGCCACTGAGCCATAACCCATCCTACATTTCACTTTTTATCTGTGCTTCTCTTCCCTTCAAACTGCTCCTCTTTGACAAGATAAGCCCAAACTCCACCCAGCCTCTAAGGCTCTTCTCTCTGTGACAGGACTCCAATTTACATTTCCAGTTTCTCTCTCTCTCTCTCTCTCTCTCTCTCTCCTTCCTGCACACCCTCTGCACTGGCCAACAGGATTGCTTGGGGCTTTCTGAACACACCCGTGAAGCCCCACCTCATTATGGTTTATCTCTTATTTCCTCTTGCCAGAAATACTGTCTTTTTCTGATGGTCAGAACCCATTTTCCAAGTTCAGTTTTAAAAGTCAGAGTCTTATCTTCTGGCAGTTTAAAATTTAATGAAGGGTTTAAAGTCAACTTACTGGCACTGTGTAAATGAGAAAAGAAAGCAGAGATAACAGCAATAAAGATAAATGCATGAAATGATGGAAGATTGCAGGTTATATAGATGTATCATTTACAATACTCAAAATGGGCAAGGTGGAGTTCTCTGTTTCAAAAAGTATGTTTTCATCCATTTTTGCAGTAAAATAATATTCAATGAGAGTATGTCATATAAATTAGCCACTTGTTTGAGTTTAAAAAGCAAATTTCTACAAACATTTACTACCCCTCGGCAGCCAGCATCCTGCCAGGATAGTTTCCTGCTCAGAAGGTGATGAACTACCTGAGAAAAAGAAAGTCTGGAATAATTAGTAAAGAAATAAGAGCCAGAGCCAGAAAGTGGATTCAAAAAAGGGGAGCTCCAGAGAGGTCCTCCAGTCCCAGTTGGAGCTAGCACTGAATGACTAGAAAATGGCTCAGGTTCTTTATTTAAGAGAGAGTACATCAAAGGCAGGGATAAGGTTTCAGCTTGTGGAGTCTTGCTTCGCGATGGCTTGCAGTCAATAGGTTGATTGGCCTCTTGGCAAGCCACACCCATCTCTGAGAGGTTGTGTGGCTACGTGGCTCCAGCAGGGTCACTCATCTCCGGTGCCATGCAGAACCTGTGACAGAGCTGAATAGAAAGTCACAAGTATCAGGCAATCTCAAACCAGAATCCTGGAGTTCCCAGATACCAGACTTTCTTATCCAATGGCTTCCATGCCAATTGGGTTCATGCACATTTCACTGGTGGCTTCTAGCAATTTACCTACCAAAAATACTCTTTAGTATTATCTTCTGGCAGTTTAAAATTTAATAAAGGACTTAAGGTCAACTTACTGGTACTGTGTAATGAGAAAAGAAAGCAGAGATAACAGCAAGAAAGATAAATGAATGAAATGATGAAGATTGGAG